CATACATTTGTGTCATGCTACCCCTGAACTCTAAGGAAGCCACAAGCCATCCTGTCATCTTATTCCAACCCCTTAAAAATACCAGAATTATCTTCAAAATGTCCCTCATAGTCGTACCAACCTAGAGGGACAGAAGGGGGTTGGGGTGGGGTAGTGGCGGAGTGAGAGCGGGTGGAGAGGAAAAATCCAGAGGTGGATAGACTTGGATGTATTCCAGATTTACAACTCTCTCTCATCCTGGGCCCCAGAAGTTTCCATGGACTTGGCAGAAAATCCTTAACCAGTATCCACTTGACCATCCCCAAAACAGGCAGGGCATGACCAGGTGCCATCTCATTTTGTTATGGATGCAGCTCTTACCATTAATGGTGCTTTCTCATGTGGTACCCAAATCAATCTCCTCCTGTTTTCTATACTTTTATCTTCATGGCACCTCTGAGACATTGTTTGATTCAACTTCTCCGCTGAATTGTCCTTCAGAACTCCGGAGTCAACTGACATAGCTCCCCTCTACATTGATACTGCTCACTAAATGCCCCCTAATTTCTTTCTGATGATAAAACAATTTGGACAAATGAAATGACATACTAGAAAAGAGATCACATAATAATCCTAAGAGAAGACAAAAAGTGGTCTAGAAATTTGAATGAAAAGGTGAATTTAATCCCCTGGTGAAATTGAGGAACCCCTACTCTGTCTAGAGTGTCTATGGTATCATCTGTCCCCAAAGATCTAAAACCTAATAACACTCTTCAGGAGACCATGCCACTCCTAGTAAAGACCCATTAGACCCCAAATTGCAAACTTTGGCTGTTATTTATTTGCTTCCAATGCCTTCTTTGAAAAAAGAAAAGAAATGTGTTTTAGAAGAAAACTTACCTGCAGAAGAACAGTTTTAATATGATTTGGGAATCTTTAATTCTTTGTATAAGGCTTCTGTAATTCAGCATAAAGATTTTGAGATTTAATCCTGCATATATATATATATATATATATATATATATGTATGTATATATCTTATTGGGGGCTTTTACAACTCTTATAACAATCCATGCATCAATTGTATCAAGCACATTTGCACATATGTTGCCATCATCATTTTCAAAACATTTTTTTCTGCTTTAGCCCTTGGTATCAGCTCTGCATTTTTTCATTCCTCCCCCACCCTCCCACCCTCATGAACCCTTGAGAAATTATAGATTATTATTATTTTCATATCTTACACCATCCGCTGTTCCCCTGTACTCATGTTTCTGTTGTTCATCCCCCTGGAGGTAGGGGTGTTACATGTGAATCATTGCGATCAGTTTCCCTTTTCTTCCCCTTATTCCCCCATCTTCCCCCTACTCTCATGGTATTACTACTCCCATTACTGTTTCTGAGGGGTTTCTCTGCCCTGGATTCCATGTGTCAAGAGCTGTTATCTGTGCCAGTGTACATGCTCTAGCCTAGCCTGATTTGCAGGGTAGAACTGGGGTCATGTTAGTGTGGGAGAGGAAGCATTAAAGAACTAGAGGAATGCGTGTTTTGTAGGTCCTATACTGCACTTTGACTGACTCTTCTCTTCCTTGTGACCCTTCTGTGAGGGGATGTCCAATTGTCTGCAGATGGTGCCCCAGTATTTCATTATGAAAATTTCATTCTTACAGAAATGTTGAAATAATTGCATAGTGGACATGAAACACTCAACAACTCAATTATATAATTAACATTTTGGTGTGTTAGATTTATCAAATCTATTTATTTCTTTATCCACACATCTACACATCTTATATCTTATGGATTTCAGTGTAAATCTCAAATCTCACTCACTGGAACACTTAAACTCAAATACTTCAGTATACATACCATTATCAGTTGTTTTTGCTTTGATACTTTTCATTAATGTTCCCCTCTGCATCGCTCTTGCCGTACTTTTCTTTATTCCTTCTATTTTCTCAATTTACAATTCTGCACTGCTCCTTTGCTTTCTATCCCCAACGCCCTAAGTGACAAAGGAAGATGTGAGAATGGAGGAGTCTTGAAGTGGTATCAGGAAAGGTCGTGATGACCTCACAGGGCCTCAGAGTTATTACCACTGTAGATCTCTCCTTGTGAACAAGCTGAAGCTAACCAATTCAGAGAATGGACCCAACATAATAATTTATTTTGAGAAATACAGCCATCGAATAACAGATAGCTGCATATCTTGATCAGTTCAGGCTCTCCCTGAACAACTCTATGCTGAATTCATTCCTTGTCATCAAGTAGCTTCTAACTCATGGCAATCGCAATTGTTTCAGAATAGAACTGCCCTCCTTGGCTATAATCAGACTGTAGAAGATCACCGGGCCTTTATTTTATGTCTCTGCTTGGAGAATTGTAACCTCCAACCTTTTTAATTAGTGGCCAAAAGCAAACCATTTGCATCATCCAGAGAGCAATTGAATCTACATGATGGATCAAGTCATGAAAGTGTTTGGTGAATGTAGATGCAGAAGAAGGGAGTTATGGGAAAGTCACAGCACTGATCACTGAGCACTTTGGTATTTTCAGACTTGTCCAGCCCAGTGCTTGACACCAAGGGATGCTTCATACTTACTAGCACAATGCTGTAATGAGTACCTGAAAGAAGAAGGCATATTATCAGAGTAGTAGAAATAACCAATGAGGGCATTGTTAAGCACCTGGCTGCTAACGGAGAAGTTGGTGGTTTCATCTGGAGAAAGGTCGGTTGATATGCTCCTATAAGATTCCAGCCTAGGAAACCTTGTGGGACAGTTCTACTAAGTCCTGTAGGGTTGCTGTATATCGTAGCTGACCCAACACACACAACAGTAGAATTCCTAAGCCCCAGAGTAACACATATAGTTAACTTTCTCAGCTGCTTATAGTTAAATTGGAAGTTCAAGTCTACCCAGAGATTTTCTACTGAAGTCTTTCAGTAGAAAGACCTAGACATTTCCTTCTAAAAAATGAATTGTTGAAAGCCTCCTGGAGGACCGACCATTCTAGTCCGACACACCTGCAGTCAATATGAGTCAGATCAGCTTGACTGTAACTAGAAGTGTTCACACAGAGAAGCCCTGGTAGTGGAATGGATTACAAACCACAAAGTCAAGGAGTTCAATCTCACCAGATGATCTCCAAGAGAAAGTTGAGGATTTCTGATTCTGTAAAGATTTACAGCCTCAGAAACCCACAGGGGCCATTCAACGCTTTCTTATTGGGTCCCTATGAGAGAGAATTTAGCAATGACACATGTTACACAGACAAGAAATTTTCATTGTTCATTCTGGGCATCTCTCACCTGCATTGTGTGGGGTGAAGCCTGCCGATTCCTACCCCATCACAGTCCCTTTACAGAAATTCCAGGACGATTTTTCTCTTTTGAGTGACACATTCTGTCTTTAAATGTTTACGCCTTTACTTAAGCTTTAAGAGTCCTAGAGCCCTGATCATCTGCTTTGGGCTTAGGAAACAACCTGTCTTTACAATGGAAAACTTGATACATATATACAAAATAACCACACATATAATGTGTGATCTGACACACAAAAATAGCTCATGGGTGAGTGCAGCTGGTTAAAAAGTATGATGTGCCCCTAATTTGATAAGCTGATCAAACTGACTTCATTCTCAAACTACGAGGGTGGTTCACTGCTGCTCCAGTGCCCTTCCTCCTTGGTCTTCTTTCCCGACCTCAAGAGCTATATCTGGTACTGACTGTGGGCTACTTACTCGGCAGGCTTCCTAATGACCCACCCACAATGATTTGGCAAAGTGAGCTCTTCAGTGAAGGGGCAAAGCTACAAAAGACGGCAACTGCAGCACTTTCCTCCGAATCGCAGGTTCAATCCCATGCTGACAAACCCAATCCTCTTTGAAAGTCCTGGAACGGAGCTCTCTAGTCGGAACGTTTCAAGGCGAATACCTGGGTTATGTACCAACTTCCAAGAGTTGTTCTTTCAAGGGCTTAGAATCTCAACAAGCAAAGTGTTTAGTAGCAAAGTCCCCCGGTCCTCCATTCTTTGAAAACTATTCTTACAATTGACCACTTTTTTGAAATAGAGATGATAGTAAACATCCTCAAATATCAGCATCTTCGGGTCAACTCTGCAACATTTTGTTTATTTGCATGAAATCATATGGTGTTGGCGGAGGGGGGAGGGGGGATGAGTCAAAAACAAGGTTCTGACAATTTAATGTGAATCTACTTAGAGATTGGGGGTTTCTGGGTGGAACAAAGAGGCCATGATGGCATAGTGGTTATGTGTTGGGCTTCAATCTGCAAGGTGAGTAGTTTGAAACCACCAGCCACTCCATAGGAGAAAGTCAGGGCTTTCTACTCCCATAAAGAGTGACAATCTCAGAAACTCACAAGGATAGTTCTAGCCTGTCCTGTAGGGTCACTATGGGTTAACATTGCCTCACTGACAGTGAGTTTGATTTGTGTTTGGGGGTGGCACAAACAAGTTATGCACTCTACTGCTGGCCAAAAAATTAGGTAGTGTGAACCCACCCAGCAGCGCCTTGGGACACGGTCTGCTTCTGATAGGTCTGCACGCGGGAGGGTTGCTATGAGTTGGCATAGACTTGACAGCAATACCACCACCCCTTACCAATTGGGGAAACAAACAAACAAACAAAACAAGTGATCCTTGTAGGCACTGGCACTTCGGTGGTGAAAGGCCAACTGGCAACTAGAGCTCCTCTCCTATTGCTTCTACTCCACTGGGTTCAGATCCAGATAAAAGCCTTGGAGGAGGGAGGAGACACCATGAGGTCCAGAGGGATTTCACTGTTGGCGATTCCAGGGCTCCGACCTGAGCGCACATTTGCTCAGATTCACAAACTTCGAACAGGACCTGGTCCTGATAAACAAGGAGCGTTTCATCTACGCCGGGCTTCAAAGACCATGTTTATTCAGACACCAGCTGCCCCTGTTATTCCTTGGCTGTATCTGTCTCTAGTGACGGAAACTCTTGTTTTGTTCTCTTTTGTTCTTTCCTCTTTTAAAGAAATTAAAGCACAAAAAGAATGTGAAAAAGCTACAGACTGATCTGGCAATGGCTAAGCAAGAGGCTGCCCTCACAGCCCTGGAGCTCAAGGAGAAGATAAAGGCTCTATGTGAAGGAAAGCCAGCCCCTAGAGGTCAGTATTACCATGTGACACGTACACGCTGGCCCACAGCCCTGAATGAGGCATAGAGCTTTATTGGCAACCAAGCCAAAAGTGGGGCCCCAGCCCTGGCTGCATCCGGGCCCAGCAGCCTTCTGGCCTGGCCTGGTCTGACCTCCATGTAGCAGGAATAGAAACAGCTCGACCGGCTCGCTCCAGGCTGTCTTCACTTCCACCTCAAGGGACAGGGAATGAGTCAGTGGTTCACTCAGGGAAAGTCTGCTAAACTGAAAAGCTGGATTGGCGTCCATCTGATAAGTGTGGCTGCACAAACTGGGTGGCAGTGAGGGCCGCTGCGGGAAGGGCAGGGCATAAGAAGGAAGGCCCGAGGCCCTCAGGGATCAGCTCTCCCAGCTCCAGAGGGGTTTGGAGCTTGTCAAAAAATGCAGGCAGGCACAGGGCAAGGAAGGCCATGGGTTTTGAACAATAAGTGAATGGACTGGAACCCATCAGGAAAGGCTGGGTGAGTCACAAGGACTTGAAAACAGAGGGGAGAAGTGGGGGACAAGGGAACAAACTGAAGCCACTCAGGTTGTCACCATCCGTGCTAATCTGAGTTACTACTGAATACTACTGGGCCAGGCATTTTGCTAAACACTTCGCAGGTATTGCTTTTAATTCTCAGAATAACCCCGGAGGGGAGTACATGGATTACTTCACAAGACTAAGCAGAGGCTTAACAAAATCAAACCCATAGCCATGGCGCCTACCCTGACACTTAGCGACCCCACAGGACAGAGTCCAACTGCCCCCTGAGTTTCCTGGGCTGTAATCTTTTCATAAGCAGGCTGGCACAGCTTTCTCCTACTGAACAAGTGGTTTGCAGCCGAACGCTTTAACCACTGCACCACCAGAGGCTTTCAAGACATTCAGCATCTGCCCCAGGTTAGACCTCGGCAAGCAAAGCCGGACTCCAGAGCCACAACGCACCCACACCATTGTTAGCTGCCGAAGGGCTGGATTCGTGGGGTTTTGTCTCTGCTTGAGCACATACGTCATACGCCAGGGTAGCGCGAGGGCATCCCTGGGCTGCGCAAATTGTTTGCACAGATGTACCGGGGCTTCGGAAGTCCTACCCAGCAGCAGCATTCCTGACGGAAAAACGTGGCTACCTGCTTCCATACAGACTATAACCAAGAGAGTGTGTGTGTGTGTGTGTGGGGGGTGGGGGGGGGGGGGGGGTCCTTTTTCTTTAAGCATCCAGATCAAAGTTTAGTTTTGCACAACTGTGGCTTCCCAGGATGAATGTCTTCTGTTAACGGGTACCACTTTGTGAAGCCCCCCACCGGCCACTGTTTGCTGTCAGGCTTCGTTTGTTATGCATAAGCAACTTTGCAAAAAGAGGAACAAAGTGGAAACACCTGGAGGAGGAGGCAGGCGGCGGTGCGGTGGCTGCGGATTGAGACCTCCCAGCATCCTGACTGCACTGGCCGAGCTTTGCATCGGAGGTTAGTTTTAATGTTCCGTTTTGAATCGCCTTTACCCTGAGTTCAAGGGTAGGTGATGCAGCCACCTTGAAATACACGCTGAAGGTCAGTTCCTTTTTCTTGCAGGGAAGCAGCATCAAATGGTGAGTTTGCTTGCAGCAGTATGAATCTTAAAGAATAGAATCATTAAGGAAGATTGCCCACCTCCAGGCCTCGATCTTCAAACATCATAGCCAGCTGTTTCATTGGCTGGGCAATACAAAACTCTGATTGTAAAGCGCATTCCCTCATTTGAGGGAAGCTTTCAATCAACTGGATTTTATATCAATGACAACAAAAAAGATATCACTGCAAGCTAATTCTTATTACTTTCATTTTGACAAAAATAATATTATACGGTGTCTAATGATAATGTCTTTTGATAGAGTAAAATTAAAGTACGGTTACTCTAATGGCTGGGGGTGCATGGAAAGAAGACATTGAATCCTGTCTTTTCTCCTTTGCCCATCTTTTCTCCCAGTTTCTGTTTGGGGGTGTTTGGGGTTTGTTTGTTTGTTTGTTAAATAAAAGAGCGTGGTGGGATTTTTTAATTAAAAAAAAATACCAGTGTGGCAAAGAGTCCAGTTCATGTATCTGTGAACTGATGTACATATAAATAAAGCATTTTAAAATCAAGTAGGAATCAGAAGAGTGACTCCCTTCTGAGCTACATATCATTTCTTTTATTTGGTGGAGAAACTGAGTCAGTGACTTGACACAAAGCACAAAGGTCTTTCACCAAATACATGAGTATTCCAACTCTCCTTCTCATCCTGCACAACCTCAACCTGAATTCAATCGCCCAGGGCGACATTACTTCTCATTCTCAGAAACCCTGGTCACCTTTACCTACAGCTCATTCACTAGAAAACATAATGTTAAAAGATGCTGATGATTTTGACAATGGCCACAATCTCACCCCAATAATAGCTGGTGCACCTCCACCCATCCCACAACGCCAACACATTCCTGACCCTACCGCAACACCTCTACTTGCGTTATCTGTGTCCTTTCAAAAAAGTGTTTGTTTTCTGTACTTAGACCTCTGCTGGTTACAAAAGACAGATGACTCAGTCATAAGGGTTTAGGAATGAAGAGGGATTTCTTGGTGTGTGTAAACAGACTAAGAAAGCACATGCCATTAGTCCGTTGGTTTCCGCCTCTCAGATACCATCATCATGCCCACCTCTCTCTGCACTTAGTTTCATTCTCTCAAGCTGAGGGTTCCGAGAGCCTGGAGATGGTGAGCCAGCCTTCATAAAATCTCTTCTCTGGAAAGAAAGAAAACTTTTCCCCACCACCTCCAGCTGGAAATCTCTGTCAGGCTTAGGTTGGGTCCCGTCGCTGGACGTAGACCAATCCCTATAACTGATGGTGGAGAATATGATTGACCATGCCTGGGTCAGGTTCCCGGGGAATAAGGGTAAAAAGGTAGAGTGTCCTGCCTGGCAGATCCCACTAGAAACCCAAGATTAAATTGAGAGAGCACAATTCCATTCAGGGAACGAACACTCCATTAATGGAAAGTAGGGAACAAAACCAGCACATGTGCAATACCCTCTGTTAGTGTCAGGTACACACTCAATGTCATGCTGGAGGAGTCACCCAGGCCCCGGGTGTTTGCATTTTCAAAGTAGATTCTCGTTGATGGGCAAAAGTTCTTCATGACCCCTCAAGTAAACTTCCGGCAGTATAATTTGAACCCCATAAAAGATGGAGCGCAACCGGTGAATCCCCTCTGAGCGTAGTGCAGGGATGTGAATACCTTTGCTATCACACCGGGTGGTGTAAAGGCGATTATGGCAGGTGTAGTTAGGTGAAATGTAGTTAGATTAAAAAGTCATTTCAGTTTTTAATATTTTCTGCTTTCTTTTCGACAGACTTTTCTGTTTTGTCTAGTCATTATTGTCGTATTTTTGTTTGTCTGCTTGCTTGCTGTTTGTGTGCTGTATGATTTACTGTATATGAAATCCAGGATACGTTGCTCTACAGAGACCACTCTATTGATAATTGCCTAGGTGCACGGTAGGGGGCGGGGAGTTAGCAATAATGAGCGAGCGAAGAGAGTGTTCTGAAATTGATTGTAGTAATGATTGCACACATCTTTTTTTTTTTTAATCATTTTGTTAGGGGCTCATACAACTCTTACCACAATCCAAACATACATCAATTGTGTAAAGCACATTTGTACATTCATTGCCCGTACTAATCTTCTTAATCCAATTGAACAAGTAAATTGTTAAGCTCTGTGAAGTATATGCCAATAAAACTTTTTTTTTTAATGGGGTAGTGTGAACTACTTGGGGAGGGCAGGGGGATTCTCCTTTCGATTTCCATCAAACTATTCCATGATCACTTACCCAGATAATCGGCCTTATTTTAACAGCTCAAATCGCAAGAGACAGAAGGGGAATATTAATTCGAAATGGCATGTGACCTAGATTAACATAAAACTACTTCTCTTTTGTAGCTACAATCTAATGCCCAGGGGTCTAATGAGCAGATCAAGGAAACATTTCTAATTTTTCCTCTTTATTTGTTTCAACATTTTCCAAGTAAGTCTATATATTAGGTTTTCAGTCAGCTTTTCTAATCAGATAGATGATCAGGTATATTAAGAATACTTTTAAGCATATGTAAAGTGATGCAGCAGTGAGCCATCAAAGGTTTGCCTAAGGGAGAGGGGGGTTGTGTATATTCAAATATTTTCGTTCATACACCTACAGTCAACTATTTCACTGGCTATGTACTTAAATTACCTCCAAGGAAATAAATATTTAAGACGATGGAAAGTTAAGCCGAAAAGAAAAACACCTTTCTTATAAAGCTGGCACAGCAGGAAACTTACTTAGTGCAGGAGTGTTGTTTGTTGATTTTACTTTGTGCAAATAATCACAGCCCAAGGAAAATTCCTTCCATCATTTCCACAGCCCGCAACTGAAGTGCTTATGCCTTTATTTACTAGCAGGGTTGGTGCAATACCTGCTGTGGCTCTTCAGAGCTGAAATCCACCTTTTGGCAAACCTCAATATACAAAAATGTAAGGTTAGATTTCAAAAGAATCTTTACTTCTTTTGGCTTTTAAGGACAAAGCTACTTTGTAAAAAATGGATCGCAATGGGACGGTAAATGGGAGCCAACCCACACGTATACATAGGTTTGGCAGGGGTATTTCTACATTTGTAATATCCATGTTTATAGTGGAGCAGGCCCACTTCTTTACCATGATCAAATACTCATTGAGTTTGGAGGCTTAGGACCATAGACTCAGGGCACCCCGTTCACAAACACGGTGTTCCACATGTTGACTATGATGTAGTCGGGGTCTTAAAAGCTTCTAAGTGGCCCTCTAACCTACAACTATTGGTCTTTCCCTGTCCAGAGCAAAAAAAACTCTAACTCACAGCCATTGAGTTGATACTGACTCAGCAACACTATAGAAAAGAGTAGAATTGTCTCTCTGGGTGTCTGAGACAGGAATAATTTACAGGAATAGAAAGCCTCATA